ACTAAACTCAGGCTTTTTTGAATACTGTGATGGTAATGCTCTGGAAGTAGGATCCTTATCGCTATCTCCGAACTTCTACTAGAAACAAAATATATTTACATGCCAGATAACAGAAGTAAGGTTAGTATTATAGGATGTTTAAAGTATAGGTCTCCTAAAACATAAAAAACCTCTGGGATATCATGTCTGTTCCTGTTAATTCACTTGCTTATATATTTTCCAGGATAAGTGCACCATCTTGTGTTCAGTATAAATATTTGTTGTAAAGCAAAAGATGTTAAATTATAATTATTTCAATAACCATTAATTCTGTTTGTACATTAAGATAGAAGGTATCCCTCCTACACATACCACGCAAATCTTTAAAACAATAAAATTATAATTAAAAACAATGTAGAATGAAGATGTTTGATGTTTTTCTATTTGCATATATAATTTTGTATAAAATATAGTTTTTCATAAAAATAATTATTTGTTCAAATCCAAACTGAAAAAAAACTCTTTAATATTAATTTTGGTTTTTAATTTAAATTATAGACTTTCCATGATGTAAAAATCCAACAATTTATCTAAGTCTTAAAGTTATTAAAATACATCATGTTGAGTTATATGTATATTTCTAATTTGCTCATTTTTGTTATAATCATACATTGTGCTGAATATGCCACTTCACTTATTTCTAGGCCAGTACCTTGGCAGAGTTTGACTCAAGGCAGCTTTGGGACACAGGAGAAATAACATAACTCTGCGTTCCCAGCTGCTACTTTTAATCTAATTACCAAGCCTTCTTTTCGGAGAGTCACAGAAGGCTTGAGGTTGGAAGGGACTCCAGGATATGGTCTAGTCCAACCCTTCTGCTAAAAGTAGGGTCAGCCAAAGCAGAGTTGTGTCCAGTTGGGGTTGAGAATATTCGGTGATGGAGACTCCACAACCTGTCTGGGAAACTAGCTCCTGCACAGTGTGTTACGAGCCTCAAAGTAAAAGTTTGTTCTTGGATTCAAGGGGAATTTTGTGTATTTCATTTAGTTCTCATTGCTTCTTGTCCTGTGATTGGGCACTGGTGAGAAGAGTCTGGGTCTGGCTTCTTTACTCCCTCCCATCAGGTATTTGTGCACACTAATGAGAACCCCCCCCTACCCTTCTCTTCTCCAGGTTGAAAAGTCCTAGCTCTCTCAGACTCTCTTCATGTGTCAGATGTTCCAAGCCTTTACTGGCCTTTGCGATGCTTTGCTGGACTCACTCCTGTATGTCCATGTCTTTTTTATGCTGCGGAGCCCAGAATTGGACACAAGACTGTAGATGTGCCCTCACCTGTGCTGACTAGATGGGAAGGATCACATCTCAGTCTGCTGACAATGCTCTTTCTAGCGCAGAACAGGATACTGTTGGCCTTCTTTGACAAAAGGGCACAGTCCTCCCAGTTTTGCATTGCCTGCGAACTTGCTGAGGATACACTCTGTCCCACCACCCAGGATATTAAAGAAGAGCTTAAAGAGTATTGGCCTCAGTAATGACCCCTGTGGTACATCACTAGTGACTGGCTTCCACCTGAACTTAATGCTACCGATCACAACTTTTTGAGCTTGGCAGTTCAGCCATTTTCAATCCATTTATCCATTGTTCTCCCCTCATTCACCAAGCCAGTCAGCCAATTGTAGAAGTCAATTGTGTTGGCCAAGCATGGTTTCCCTTCCATAAGTCCATGAAGACTGCAGTCTTCTTTTACTTCATGTGTTTGGAAATGGCTTTTAGTATTATTTGCTCTGTCACTTTCTCAGGGATTGAGATGATGCTGACTGACCTGTAGCTCTTAGCATCCTCCTCACCTTTCTCAAATACAGGGATATGTTTTCTTTCTTCTAGTCCTCAGAAACCTGTCCTGATCACCATGACATTTCAGAGATAATCAAGGGTGGTCTCGCAATGACATTAGGCAACATGGCTTCACTAAGTGCAAATCGTGCCTGAAAAATTTGATGGCCTTCTACGACAGGGTTACAGCATTGTCAGATAAGGGATGAGCAAGTGACATCCTCTAGCAAGTGACATCCTTGTCTCTAAATTGGAGAGACATGGATTTGACAGGAGGCAGCATTCAGTGCCTCAGTGTCTTCCGTGTCCTTTGCCACCAAGTCCCCATTAAGAATTGTACCCAGATTTTCCCTGATTTTTCTGTGGCAGTCATGGGAAAGATTGTAGATTGATAGAGTAGGGCTTCTGTTGGGTGAAGCGGTATTTGCTGCTTTATCTAGTTGAGGCTAATGATAGCGGTAGCTTCCTTTTGTGAAAATATCCACATTTCCTTAAGTTTAAATGTTTACCTATTGAGACATTGTCATAGATGATGTTCAAGACTTAGGTTAAGCTATCAAATATTGCTGTGACATACCTTGTCCGCTTGATTCCATTCCCATCCTGGGTTCTGTAACAGCTTCAGGAAAGCATCAGGACCAGGTTCATCTGCTGTAAAAGAATTCTGTTAGCTACTAGTTCATGTCCCTTTTTGCTATTACTAGAATACCCTTCATGCAGCATCCCAAGACCCCTTTGCTGTTATCCTTCAAGGGCAGAAAACCTAATACCTCCAATGTACAATGGTACTGACAAGTTTTCAGCTTCCCTTGATGCTTTCATTCATTCCAACAAAAAGCCTTCATTTGAGTGGGGAAAAAATATTGATTTCTTGTCAACCTTAATCTATCCAGGTTCAAGGGACCACAGAAAGGACTTGACTATACTCATTTTATATACACGAACCAGAGGGGGGTGTTTGTCATCAGGTTCAGGAATCTTACATTTGGGGTTCTCTCATGCTAAGTTTGCTGTACTTAGTCTGAAATTGCTCTGCCTAACTATTCATCTAGTTTTGACATTTATTCACATACCATCTCTTTCTTCTGTAGTTTAACAACACAATTTTGAGAAACTGAAATTTTCTTTTTTCTGCATTTCTCTTGCCTGTCATTTCCATATCTCTCTGCCATCACTTTGTGTAATTATTCCTTCTTCTTGAATCTGAAAAAAAATGGTTTTTTTACTGCTTTTGTTTTCTCTCTCTTATTTCTGAAACGTTTCCTAGTATTTTTCATTTTATATAAAATCTATTGTTATTCCTTTCAGAGATGAATACTTTAAGTGTCATCTATTTCTGGTATGCAGTTCTCTCTTTCTTCCTCTTCCTTTCACTACCTTTACTACCTTCCTCTAGTCCCTCCTTTTCTACTTACTACCACTGTACATGTAAATTCCTTTATTTCTGCTTTGCAAAACTGTCTTTCCTCCCATTTAATTGTTGTCTAATTTAATTCTTCTTGGGGTTGTTTTTCCACTATTAATCCTTTCTTTGCTGTGGCATTCAGGATTAAGTCAAGCTGATTTTAAAGTGGCAAGAGCAAGTCATAAACAACTAAGAGGTTCTGCCTGCTCAAACACAGTACTCTGTCCTCACCACTTCTGAGGCCTTTCATGCCACTCTGCGTGTCTTGTGGTGTTTCGGTGCAATTTGGGGTTTTTTTCTTCTTTATGGCTTTATTACCATAAAACATTCCTATTCCACCATTTCTTTCAATTTTCTTCTTGTTCCCCTGTCTCCTGCATTCTCAATTTGTCATTTGGGTCTTGTTTTCTTGTGTACTTCCTGCTTACTACCATGTATTTTGAATGGGAAACTACTTACTGCTTCTTAGGTTTCCCTTTCATAAATATTCTTGCTCTCTGTTTCAATTTTTTGTCTAAAAAGTCAGTGAGACTTCCTGTGTGTTAGAAAGAACCAGTCCCAAAAGTTCTTGCTTTGCCCAGAAACAGGGATTGCAGGTAGAGTGTAAAAGGATAATAGTGCCTCTGGTGGGTTCCCTGCATGATGAGACATGTGATGATGTGACACTGTATCCTTCAGGCTCAACCCTCACTTTCTCCAAATTACAGCAAGAGAGAGATGACTGTCCCAAAACACCCTCACTTGCTGATATGCATGTGTACTGTTCTACTCTCTCTGTCCAGTTTAAAATGAAATCCTTCCTGCATCAAACTTAACACCTGTCCAGGGTCACTTCATCTTAGGAGATGGTATAAAAGATTTTTCCAACAATTGAACAGTGGGCAGAACCAGGGTGGCTGATCCATCTTCGGCACTGGCTAAGAGATGCACTATATGTCTACCATTATATCTGATAGGATGGTTGTGTATTTGGGAGTGTGTACAATTTACTGTTTAACAGACCATAACTTCTGTGAAGAAGCCTTTATAGTCAGTTATGGATATCTGAACTTAAGCACTCATTGAAAAGTGGATTTCTTACATGATATATGGAGTCATTAAGTTCTACAATATAAATCCTCTGTATTGTCCTTAGTTAGCGAACCACTGAGGCAGTTGTCTGATCTGAGACAGTCTCTGCTATGCATATATGTTGTCATAGGAACTGCTTTTAAAATTGCAGAGGAGAAAAATTGCCACGAAACATCAAATTCTAATTATCAATCATATGAACATTGTAAGTCCTTTCTGCTTAGTTAAGGTTCTTAGGTTACTTTTTAACTTTCCCTAAAAAATAATTATAATAGTGTTTTTTAATTGTTTGTGCTAAAAAAAACCCATAAACTGTTCCCTTTTACTGATTTAACACTGATTTCTCACATGCCGGATCTACCTGGGATACAGTTAACTTTACATAGCAGCCCACATCTTGGGGTCTGTGGCTTAACCTGTTCATAAAACATCAATAACCCCCCCAACAGTGGCGGGGAGGGAGCAACCCCCTACAGCCATGAGAGAAAGTCCATCCTTCTTCAACAGAACTGAGAATCTCTTACCACAGAATAATAAACACTGTGTGACTTGAGTGCTGTCAATGCTGCATGCCAAATATTAAATATTATCTAGGAACCTTTGTTGCATAGCTTTCTCCTGTTACAGATTATATGATCACTCCTACATGTGTTTGCTGTGAAGAGCTAAATATTTTACTACTTGATACCAGCTTTTTCTCTTTTGTTTTTAGCCCCTTGTGAAGCCAACACATTCTTTTGCCACAGTAATATGTGTATTAATAATACATTGGTCTGCAATGGACTCCAGAATTGTGTGTATCCTTGGGATGAAAACCACTGTAAAGGTAATGTGTAGAATTCGAAATGTCATCATTCTGACCACGCGGCGTACAGCATATTATCCTTAGTTTCTTGTTAAATATGTGCCAGATGGGTCAAAGCTCAGCAAGAGTAATTCAGGGACAGCATACGTCAAGCAATATAGAAAATGAAGAGACGTAGAAATACTGATGGATTTTACTTTCGGTGTTTGCATTTGTTTTGCTTGGTGTTGATTTTGTGTTAGTTGTGTCCTTCTGTCTGGCTTTCTGATCACTTGGTCTCTGTTGACCATACAATCTAAAATGTAATTAAAAGTCATATTTTGGATCCTTTGTCATAGTTACCTTTGTATTGGAATAATATATGGGTAGCAGGTGTCTTAGCTGCATACCATGTTCATAATAGCCCAGGTTGGCTGAAAAGCCAAGGTGAAGTGGAATTAACAAGCATCGGAAACCAGGCATAATGTCTATTTCATAGGCAGGGACTGATGTTCTTAACCAGGTGCTGAGAATAGTTTCTAAACATTGCTCTGTGTTTCTGAAAACTAACAGCATCTGTGATGTCTTCAGGGAAAAGAGCGTAACTAACTTATATTGCAGGCTGGGGATAGAATTTGCCCCACCCGCCCCCCACCCCCACTGCTGCAGATTCATTCCTGGAAACATGGGATATGCCAAATTTAGGAACCAATCAAGAAAAATTTCAGAATGAGGTGGATTAAGAGTCATGCCATAAGTCTGCTGAAGCCTGTAAAATCCTGACAAGCAGTGCAATCGGGTAAAACACAAATGAAAACACACTTCAAAAAGAACACAGCAAAACTGTGGAATGAAATAACATTCTTCAAAGAAACTAAACATACAATTGGGCAATAATTATCTGTTCTCTAATTTTTCTGCACAAAGGAAAACAGAAAACCTTCCCCACTATTTAATTTCCAGATTGGTTTTTATCTTTCATTTGCCAAGTATATTTCTACTGTTTTTTGTGCATTTAGCTTCTCTTGTTTTTCTGTTTTTCTTGTTTTCAAAAAAAGGAGGTCTGCTGATTCCAGCAAAAACCTTGTTTGCTGCTGTGTTGCTTTTTCTAACTGTACTACTTTCCCAGAGTGTGTATCAGTCATCGAGAGAAACCCCAGGTGAATCTACAAGAGTAGGCAATGGGGAGTACTGAAAAGTTAATTTTTGGTATCTAGGAGATTATGAAGAGATGGATGTTATTGTTTTGCTGCCAATAACTTTCATTTCAAAGGCTTTTTATTAAGTCCTTTGATATGCTTTATGTTGCCAGGAAAAATTACACTAAACTGGGTGTTGAAACTTAATCACAGTTGTCAAGTCTTGCTATGCCTGTAAGAGACTGATGTGAATGCTTTCAGCTTGGATTTCTACAAGGCTCAGTCCCTGTCTCATGTGTCTGCAGCCATTTGAAAGCAAATCCCAGAGAAATACACACAAGAGAAGGGTGAAACTGTTTTGATTATTTTACTGCTTATTTTCTTTTTTTCTTAATTCATAACACTGTATTTGCTGGCTGAATTCCTACAGGCCCCTGTGTAAAGAATAGTAGGTAGGATCAGCTTTTGTCTTGTTACGGGTGTTTAGAAAAGTTGTGGTAATTAATAGGTCAGTAACAAAAGAAATAGCTTGCACACCTTTTTTTTTCCTTTTTGAAAACTCAGTTTGAATAACTTTTCTATTTTTTCCTGGTTTAGCTTTTCCATTGAAAACCATCAACAGTCCCAGTTAGCTCATAAATATTAGGACTTCCCCCAAGTTCCCAATGCAAAGAAGAATATTTTAAATCCTGTAAAGTCTTGCTCTTTTATGGGTCCTAATGTCTGGGTTGCATATATTTACTGGAAGAGACAGTAAATAATGAAGAGAACATCTGTAACAGTCTTGGGGGCTTGAGCAGGCAAATGGAGTTCAGACGTGACACTAAAACCATCTTTTTGTTATGGTGGTTATTTTTTATAAAAGATGTAAATAACTCTTTCACCTGATTAAGCTTGTAATATACCCTAAATAAATCACTTTCCAAGTGAATAGGCACACAGAGAACCTGTGTGTTATCTGGCTTTCATTAATACCTGATTTCTTCCTTTTTCCTTTTTGTCAGTAAAATTGATTAAGTGAACTCAGACATAAACTAGTCTCAGCTTTGCAGTAACCTATGAACTGATCATGCTTGTTTTTATTCTTGAACTGTAATTAATGCTCTGCTTTTTATTTTTTTCTCCCCTTTTTTTTTTCTCCTATCACACAGAAAAAAGGAAAGCTAACCTATTGGATCAACTTACCAATACCAGTGGGACTATAATTGGGGTGACTTCTTGCATTGTGATCATCCTCATTGTTATCTCTGTTATAGTACAGATCAAGCAGCCTCGTAAAAAATTTGTCCAAAGGAAAACAGACTTTGATCAAACAGTGTTCCAGGAGGTCTTTGAGCCTCCTCATTATGAGTTATGCACTCTCAGAGGGACAGGGCCTACAGCTGACCTTGCTGATGTTGCAGATGACTTTGAAAATTATCATAAACTGCGTAGATCATCTTCAAAATGCATTCATGACCATCACTGTGGATCACAAGTGTCTAGCATTAAGGGCAGCCGTAGTAACCTCAGCACAAGAGATGCTTCTGTCTTGACAGAAATACAACCCCAGCCTGTAAAACCACTCATTCAGCCCATGAACAGGAGAAATATCCTTGTCATGAAGCATAGCTACTCACAAGATGCTGCAGATGCGTGTGACATAGATGAAATTGAAGAAGTACCAACCACAAGTCACAGGCTGTCCAGACATGATAAAGCTGTTCAGCGGTCAGTATCAATAGATTTTTGATGAAGACTATTGTGTAAGGACTTGATTGCCCAAACATATTCACTCTTTATTCAGTAAAGACATATTTTCTTTTTTCCTTATTTATTGTTTAAATTTATGTTTCTTGATAGCACATACCATTGTATTATCTCTCCCTGTCTCTCTCTCTCTCATCTCCGCTCCTGTTTACCGAAGGAGCCTGCATCTCAGTTTTACCTTCCTACTTTACATCTTTCTTTTTCTTTTACTATTTTACACGTACCCGCATACATACACAGGTCAACAGAGAACAGGTATAATTTTTAAAAACCAAAGAAGATTTTGTGTGAATCTAGTTTTTGAAAGAGCCACATACATGTGGTTTCCTTGCAACTGAGGTGGCCTTGAGTATCATCCGCTGTTGGCCTAACATATCTAAATCAATACATCAGTAAACAAAAAAATACATGTATCCATTTTGATGCATGGCACAGTAATGAGAAACACAGCCCTGGGGTAAGGAAACCCCTTTTCTTTTATGTAATGAATGACAATATTTGCAAAACTTTACTGTATCTGTTCCATTATTAATCATGGTATCTTGGCTTCTCATATTATATATATATACTGATTAGAACATGAGACAGCATAGTGAATATAGAAAACTCATATATTTACATATAAGAATGTCATTAAAAAGAATCTTTCTAATCAATAAAAAATAGTCAAGCATGATATTTTTAATAAAAGCTATTTCTACTGTATATTGCACTTTGAATGACTGTAAATAAGAATGATTAAAAGTTTACAAGTAAAAGAAAAAGAAAAGCAGAAACATTTATGAACCATTTATTTGAGAAAGAACACAGACACTTTTTATATATATTTTTGTTTTCTCTTGCATAAATTATTTATGCACTTGTGACTGTTTACATGCCCTCCATATTTTCTTTGCACATTACGGCATTTCTGTCTCTTAGAAAAAAAAAGGTTATTTGATTCTTTTATTCTAATTGCATGCCAAGGTAAATTATTTAATGAATATTGACCAGATTATCAAGGTGTACTGTTTATTATGTGTCTATATGCATATATTTCTTTTTTTCTATGCAAACATTATTATTTTGAATGAAATAGCCATAACATTCCAGGTTCTGCCTCATTGGGTCTCTAAGCAAACATGAGTCTGAGTACAACACAACTAGGGTCTAAGAGACAAACTTGAGGTAAGTAGACATATCCATACAACAATTGAACCATCTGTTGCTTTCTATGTTATTTGTTATATTGCTAAGATGCATGTTAATACTCAAGTTTTGTCACCTTCTATGGAGAGAGCCAGGTTTGATTACTGAGAAAAATGAAAGATAGATGACCACTTCAGCATTGTAAACTAAGAAAAATCTATTAATTTCTTATTCTTGACAGCACTAAAACCATTCCCTAGGTAAATATAATCCTCATTCCAAACACATTATAAAGACAGATGCTTTGCATGGCTCTATGTTTTAGTTATTTATTTAGTAAAATTAAATTTAGAGTCCCAGGATATGAAACAGTATGTAAAACTTGGAAACATCTAACCCAAGCCAGGAAGATGTGGAACTACCTGTTTTCAGTTAACTTTATTCATTCAACCTTGTGAAGTGTTGGGGGAAAGCTATGTGGTTGTACTGATAAATTTAGAGTTTATGTAACACTGATGTTAATTTTTCCAAATTAAACTTCCAATTCTCTTTTCCTAGGCTTTTAATTTTGTATAATTTGTTATCAATCCTTAATCTGAATAAACATAATCTCAGATATTTATAATTAAGTCATAAATAGCTACTAGTCTGTCAATTTACATATGCTTGTATGTATATATATATATATAAACATGGATATGTCTATATACATGTTTATATGTGTATATATGTATGGAGCATTTCCTGGGAAAGAATCCATTAATGCTTTTATTGCTTCTAGATAGTTTAGGTAAATATTTTTCTGTACTTTTCCTCATAGAGAGAGCATATTTTAACTTTCTTTTCCTTTCAGACAACTGTTTATGCAGTCATGCTATCTCTGAATAGAAAAATCTATAGTGAATTATTTCAGCTGTCTGAAAGAGAGTGGACATATTTCTAATTTCATTTAATTGCCTTTATCCAAACCTAAGGAGTACAGACATATCTTACTTCCTTAGCAAGGTATTCCCATTGCAGAATAATATGTTTCTTTTATAATTTGGTTGCTGGACAACAAGTGTTCCTTAGTTTTTAAATATGTTTGGAGCTTTGCTGCAAACTTGAAGGAGAAATCTCGTAACTGACACTGTCCCTGTTTTGTTTTGTTGTCTTTTCCTTTTAATTTCAGTTGATATGTTTTATGTCTGTTATTTACTTGTATGTGTGTATATGTGGAAGAAGATTTGCATTGAACTTTTGTTATATGTACATTGTTTTCATTATATAGACTGCTTGAGAATAGTGCGCTCCTGGGTGATTTTGAACATGCTACAATGAAATGTGAAAATATCGTCCTTGGAAACACCAGCTAGAGGTTTTATGGACTCTCTGACCAGCTATTCTCATATCATGACAAAATTCAGCAGTGTTAAGTAAAATAACTAGAAGGCAATAAGACTTTGGTTATTATGCTTATTGGTCATTTCTCTTTTTCTTTTTGTCTCTTCTTTTCTTTGCAAGTTAAATTCCCAATTTCAGGAACAATTTTTTGAAATCAGGTAGCCATTCATAATCACTTCAGTAGAAATGTTCATTGGATAAGCATCTAGCAATATGACTGAATTTGACATTGGGAAAATAATCTGCATGTATGTTACTGAATATTTGAGTTGGCAAATATCCCTTTATTAGATACATTGTAAAAAAGCATGCATTCACGATTATTGCTGTTACTGTTCCATTTCTGTGTCATATGCTTGCTACTTGTAACTTTTTATATAAAGATACATAAAACAATGTATAATAATTTCTTACCTTGAGTTTAATGGCAATGTTTTCTTTTACCAAATTTACAAATCTTGTGTAATTTGGGAGATTAAGGTCAAAATGTAGCTTCTAGGAACTTGAAACCCAGATACATCCAAGAGTTAGCTGTCTCTCATCCCTCACTTATTGAAAAGCAAAGCACATTAATTTCTTAAGATTTAATTTATAATACAAAAGTTGATCACCTAATTTCAGTTCAAAGGTTTGTGATAACCTTTGTGTTCAATTCTGTACTCTTAATTAATTTTATTTCCATGGAAATTATTAAGAAGTTTGCTTCAGTGCACTAGAGTAGCAGATTTTTATCAGTATACAGATGTTATGGCTGGGCTCTAGTTTTAGAGATTCAGATATAAACCACTTCCTTGTGCAATATAAAATGATATTCATAATTCAAGCTATAAACAATAGTAACCAACACCAAAATAACACCTGAGAGGTTAAGCTATTAAGCAATTACTGTAGGCTGAAAAGCCACAATTATGTAAAGTTGAAACGCCACTCATTTAGGAACTCAATAACCCTGCATAAAATTATAGTTTCATTACCTATTTAAAGTATTATCTTCCAAATTCTGTTTCGCAACAAATCCCAGTTCCTTCTTAAACATATTTTGTCATTCATGGTTGTTAGGTTTTCCTGCCTAAAAATTTTGATAGTTTTATTGAAAAAGAGGGAAGAATTCCATGGATCTTCCCAAAGTATAAACAGATGAACAAAGAGAAAACGTGAAAGACTGATATTAAAAATAAGATGGTCTATATCACCTATTTAAATACATAGTACATAATTCACTTATTTACGAACACAGGAGATCTGATTTCTACAAAACAATTTCTACATATGTGATTTAACATAATTTCAGGTATGCACCTCTGTATTTGTAACGTATTTTATGTTATTTAATTGTAGCTTGATTAATTAATTTGCTATCACATATTAGCTGGAAGAAGCAGTCCTCCATCCTCCACAGACGTTGAAAGTCATTGAGTCATCTCTCAATCACATGGATTTTTAGCATTCACTATTAGTTCATTTCAAGACCAGAATCTCTTTCCAAGCTCATATACTTTATCACTGTTTTTGTCTTAATATTTGCCAGTCCTATTTCATCATCCTTTCTTAAGTATATTATGTTATTTGCCACATCCATGCTTAAAGTGGATGCATCCATTATAAAATGAAGGAAGAATGAAAGATATATACATGCGCACACATTTATGAATATTTATAAATATTTGCTAATGGAGATAGTGTTTAAAATATATAAGGAGAAATATAAATATGTAAAATTAATTATCATGGTCACCTAGAAAAATGCTGAATCCTTGGATTTCAAAGTTATTATATATTTAAGTGCCTAATTCCCACAGAAACATGGAGTTGGTGTAGTCCCTCCTAGACAAGCACACAATGGAATCCATTTTATGATTTTTCTCAGTAAAGAATTGACTGAGAAAATGTAGTTAGAGAAGATTTGGGTATTAATAACTATGTTGCATGCACACCCTTGTGTTTAAAAAGAAAAAATAATTGCATCAGCACAATGAGTGAGAAACATAAAGACCTGTGTAAAAGGAGAAGGTCAAGAAAAGTGAGAATGACAATGCTTACTTGACCTTGGAAACTCCTTTAGAAACATGCTGTCTAATAGCTAGGTATACTCTTAAACAAAAACCACATTATAAGTGACAAAATACGTGCATACCAAGGGAACAGGGTCAAATTAAAAAATTATCTATTAAAAATAAGCTACAATGATCTAAAATCGAAATATTTAATTTTAAGTAATTATATTCTGTACATAGTCACTGTAAATAATAGACTAGTCCACTATACTGTAAGCATTAAAGATAACTTCTGTGTGGTATCACACAATACTGAGATATTGTAATGTGATCTATAAAACTCAAAATATTAAAATAGTAGGGATTTTTGCTGAAAGGTTTTGCCTTTCTTATGAGTATTTTCTATTATTATGAAGCCACTTTTTTAAAAACAGAAAGCAGCTCAAACAAGCTAGTTCAAACAGAGAAGCTAGTTCAAACAACTTTAAGTTCACACAAGTTCAATTAGCTATAAATAGAATACTCAAACCTGGTGTTTCACCCCATACTATAAGCTAAATTTAACCTATTCTATAATACCTTTTCCACTTTATGGAAAGAAGGTCTGGCTTGTTAAATTAACACAGCTACATGTATTCTGTATAACAGCGTAATAAATTACTGTGGGTTAGCTGAGTTGGTAGTGCTAGCTTCATGTATTTCACCATATGTTTGCCTTAAGCTAAAGATATAAATGGTAATTACTAGATCATTTTGGTTTGACTGGTGCAATGTGTGTGATGTATAGCCATGTTGACAGTACACTTATTTCTTATATATTTTTTTAAAGAAGATTTTCTGTTATCACAGTGCATTGCCGCATTATTCATAGTTTTCCTTCCTTTATTTTTCTTCCCATAAATATAGTGTTGTGTATATACTTTTCTTTTTAGATGATAGTGTGAACAACCACTCCCAACCATTTTTCTCTGCTCCAGGAAATATGGAGTTTTCAGTCTGTGAAGTCTTCTCTGCAGCATCACTTAAAAATTTCAGGAAGTGACTTTTTTAAACCATCACAGAGTAAATATTTGCTTTATTCCCAATTCTTAAAACAGCTTGAAGGAAAAAAAAAAAAAGGCTCTGAGAAATGTTAGTGCCTTATCCTTCCATTTTTCCTCATTTTTATGCTGGAGATTCTCTTACACTTAGCAATGACGTAACTAGCAGGAGGTAATAAGAGAAATTAGAAAAGTTTTCTGCTCAAAAGAAATTGCTAGCACCAAATTAAAAAAAAAAAAATCAGACAAGGAAAGAAAGATAAAGGTATGCTAATTAGAAGAAGGTTATGAAGAATTGTTGCTTATACCCATTCACAAATTTTCAGACACTTTTAGGACAGATAAATTCCTTAGCCACCAGATAAAAATGTATTGTCCATGTCCAACTCTAAAAGATATTTGTAATACCTGTGGTTTATACAACACTGTCCTGCAAACAAGAAGGTGGCCTTTTGTGGGTTTTTTTGTCTTCTACTTTACATGCAATCTCCTTGCTACCTCAAAGATACTCTGTCTGGGGGAGCACAGCTGAAGAGCTAAGCAATACAAGGGACGAAAACTGCACGATTCAAAACTCTTTTTAACACAGAATTTTGTATCTGATCTGGAAGCCTCCTATCTCCTCACTCCAGACTCAACATTTGATATGAAGTCCTCAGCTCATGGCTTTGCTGCTCTTCCTCATCATTACCTTAAAATCATCTCTTTTTACTCTGATGATCATTTTGCATCTTTATTACTGCTGCCTTTCGTTTCTCTCCATGGTGAGTTTAGTTCTGTTCCTTTCTCTCCTCTGAATTCATTGGAAATGCTGAAATCCTGTCAGTTCACCGACCTTGTGTTGCCCTTGCATCCACCTGGCTCTTTACCACCTATCACTTCAGAGCCATCTTATCCTTACCTTGCACATAAACAACAAAATGAAAACATGTGGTCGCAGCATATCTTGATTTCCCTTAATTTGTGCAACACAGCAAAAGCTCTGAAGATGTAATGAAATGGACCGGAGTATGGGCTTATTAGGGATACTGGGTTTGTATTTTAATGACTGTGCATCAGTGCTGTCTGGGCTGCCTGCTTCTGGGTTGTCATGCCTGCTCCTGCTATAGTCATACCTCTGTGCCGCAAACACAAACTCACCTCCACCCCTTTTTTCTCCCAGTGAAACTTGCACCATTGTCAAACCAAGTTTTGTTTCAAGCACTTCTATGTTTCCTCCTATGCTGTATGTCCCTCTACACAAGATAGATCACTGTCCTAACCTCCTTCACATGCCTGTTAAAACACATTTGAGCTGCATAGCCTGGCAAACCCCTGATAGTGGTGTGGCAGAGCTACCATCAGCAAGGTAAGAACATCACCTACTAGGAGAAGCAGGAGTTGCTGCTTCCCTCCATTTTCTTTCCCAGGAAAAGGAGTCATGCTGATCTGCAATCTCCCAGCAAAGTCACCACAAGAAAAAAGCGAAGCTGCCATCCTCTTCAAGCAACAAACCGTAACTAGGAGAGACAATCTAAGCAGCACATGATAAAAAACGGAAGGAACAAGATTGCTCAAAATTCATGACCAAAGTAACAGCCAACACCATGCAGCAGTATTGTATCTCTTCATTCTCAGATAAGGGAAGACTGAAGTGCAATATTTCTTTATCCCAGAGAGCAGGATACCACAACTGTGAGTACCAATTTTGTCCAGGACTCTGGGAGGACTTGCTGGGCCTCTAAGGGCAATCTTCTGCTGCCACATCCAGTGGACAGCTCTGCAGTATCTAGTTCCTCAGACCTGTGAATGCACGCAACTACTTCTAAAATGGTGGCTTTATTGCAAAATGATTACTCGGCATTTAGTTGGATGTGAAAGGCACCCATGGCACTTGCTGCAAGTATTGTGTAAGAAAAAAACCAAACTTGGAATGTTTTGCACAGATACTAGATGCATGTATCTGGTTAAATGAATCATTCAGCTGCATCAACTGGATCAGTAAATGAAAACACCTTCCATCTAAGGTTTTGCTAATGGAACTGCAGGGCCTGATTCATGATCTATTCATATCATCCCTATAGACCTCGATTTTTTCTGAGTTCAGTGAAAACTCAGGAAAAATCAGTTTATTGAAAGTAAATGGCTTTCACTGTCTTTAGTGAAGCATGGAATACAATTTAATTTGGGAAATGTATGGGGAAATGCTCATTTCTTGCTTAGTGCTAGAGGAGTTTACAGACTCAGTGAAAATATAGATGAGTTGCCTCTTCCCATTGTTTGACAAATCAAAGTAAACTTAATGCTCTACACTTAACTGATCCATGTAAGTTAGAAAAGGAAGTAAAACAATGAAAGATAGAGTCAGAAATCTAAAGTAAGAATATTTTCCC